ATCCGGCCAGGTCGCGCAGGTCGCGCGCAGGCCGCGCCAGGCCGCGCTAAGTCGCGCTAGGCCAGCAAGACCGGTGCCCGGGGGGGAACCAACTTGGTAAATTGTTGACCGGGGGCTTGCCTAGTTGTCACGAGGTGCCACGTGTCGCAATTTCACTGGAGGGCCAAATCTGCCCTCATCATTAGTAGTCCCAGTTTAGCAGGACACCGGCAAATGACGAGGTTGCCCTATCAGTAACAAGTAACGAAATGGATGCATCATCCCGAGGAAGCCAATTCTACTCCCTGCAGTGTACTCGATACATGCTGAAATCAAAAGGACCCTGCACCTGTCCAGCCGTGTTTTGCCAAGACATGACCGATGGAATATGTAGGATAGCCCAGGCTGGATGAATATGATCTCCAGACATGACGATGTATAAACAGAATTCGCACTCGGTAATGTCTCAAAAATAACATAAAATAAAAAGAAAAGAACAGAATCCTAGAAAAAGAAAAAAGATAAGAAGATATCTTTCAAAGTTTCAAGTTCAGAAATGGTTAGAGTTAGGGTTCATAAAGAAGGGAATGAAAATAAGATTAGCAGTCGCAAGATTCACAGATAAATTAAAACCCCGAAGGTGCAAAGAATATGAGAAGAAAAACAAATGAAAGCGATTGAACTCATTTTCTTTGCCGTAGTACAGATAATCAAATGGGAGAAGGTAAAGAAATCAAACAAAAAACTAAGCGAGAGAGAGGGAGAGAGGTACTTGAACGTGAAGGAAAAGGAGCTTGAAGTGACTAAAATTAGAGGGAACAATCTTCTGAAGAGTCCACTCGAATGCGCCGCGGCTGCTAATGGATGCGTGCGGGTAACCTTTGATGGAAGACTCATTCACCCCTAACATTATTCGAGTTGGCTCCGATTCTACTCCATCCATTGCGCTATCAGTCTCTGTCTCGTTCTCTGTTTCTCACTGTGTAAGTCTGTAACTTGTGTTTGGTGTTTCGAATTCGATCTCTCTCGACTTTCCCTTTCCTTTTTAAGGGGCGGGAAAGTTCCAGCTTCCCGCTTAAATGCTTAATCATCACCCTAACTAAGCCTAAGGTGATTGTCGGATTGACGTCGACCGGATGAATAATGACGGATTGCTACGTTGCTCATTGCCCACTGTGATTCTGTGAAAGTGAAACTTCCACGTTGTCTGCTAACATGCGCCGAATAGTTTACACTTTACAGCGCTTCTCTTAAAACTACAACTGTTGTGGGTCAACGAGAGAATTTTTGGGAATGCCATGTTATCTGAGAATGGATAAATTAATAAAGTATTTTTACTAAAAACTAAAGCATGGGTATAAATAAATGAACTGCCGGAACGTGTCAATCCCAACCCAGAAACTGTATCCGTTAGATTTGAATGTTAAGGGACTCCAGAAAATTTTCTGTATTCTGAGAACTTATATTCAACTCCCTTTGATGTACTAAGATGCTAAGAAGAATAAAATAATCAAAACCACCGCAATTCATCCTGACCGGTGTATCAGTTAGATTTGAATGTTAACGGAGTCCAGAAAAAATTTCTGTATATACCAGGAACCTGTATGCAGCTCCCTCTTATGCTTAACTTGTTTAGCATGAGTGTATCATTTGGTCATGGTCACCCTGCTATTGAGCACTGATGATGTGCAATTCGGTCGGTCTTATCTATCAACGACCTTGCCTTTAAACTGAGTAGCAGGGAACCTGAAAAGGGGAGATAAGGAAACTCCGAGGGGAACCCGGTGTAAAGGCTCTGAAGCTCAAGTTAGAATCCTTCAAAGGCAAGATAAAACCAGATAGCGCAAAGTTTGCATACCTCTTCTTTGGGGGAGTGGAGAGCCTTTTATAACCACATCGCACACTCACTCCTAGACTTCTGTCAGGTCGGGAATGATTGCTTCCATGCTTCTGCCAGTTTGGGCGTCACTGCTCTTTTTGTCGGAGCCGTCTCTATAACTGGAGATGGCGGTGGCAGGTGACGGTGGCAGGTGGCCGTTGAAGTGCGGCCGTCAAGCGTCAAATCCCAAGTCAGTCAGGTGCGCCGCCCCTGGATACGAACTCCTTTGGTGTCAGGTACGGTGCGGTTCGTCCAGTTCAATGCTCTGGAGACGAAGTGCTTGGGGAGTTCGGGCTCCTCGTAGGGAGTTCGAGCTCTAAGTAGGGAGTTCGGGCCCCTTGTAGGGAGTTCGGGCTCCTCGTAGGGAGTTCGAGCTCTAAGTAGGGAGTTCGGGCCCCTTGTAGGGAGTTCGGGCTCCTCTTAGGGAGTTCGGGCTCCTCCTAGGAAGTTGGTCTCCTCGAGGGGAGTAGGGACCGCTGGTCACTTCCCGTTGGTGTTTGTACCCTCGGTACGTTGTTTTAAGTGCCGAGCTACTTGTTTTTTGCCACGTGGCGTGATTTGCGAGGTCGGGCCAAATCTTCCTTCATCAATTGCCCTCCMCTCCTCGTGCTAAGGTCTTGCCCAGGCGCGGGGAGTTCGCAAGGTGTCAGGTAGATTTGCCCTGCACTTTGAATCTTGGTTATGCCGACGCGAGGTGCGTTGTCAGGGTTCCATGGGTTTCATTGAGCGTCCATTAGGCGGGAAGCGCGTTGGCCTGCCCAAACACTGATAGATGTGGCAGCGCGCGCTGTATTTCGAAATTTCGAAAAAGCGCACCACTTGGGGGGCGCGATAGCGGGCGTCTTTTCAAATTTTAAAAAGACGTGCCACTGCCGTTTTTACTGAGGAGACACGCGCTGGCGTTCCGTCAGTTTCGAAAAGATGTGCGTCGGCACTCTGTCAGTTTTAGAAAGGCGTGCGCCAATCACGTCTCGATCTCGGGGGACGTGCGTTCAGTGCGGCTATAGGCCGTCGGATTGGATTTGATCTAAGCCATCGCCTTTCGGTCACTGTGAGTATAAATAGTGGGGGGGGGGACCCCAGTCGTTGTCACTTCGGTATTTCTCTCAAGCTCGCGTCCGAGTCTCAGCTCGCATCCAGTTTGCGTCCAAGTTTTTTCAGTTCGCGTTCAAGGCCTTCCGCTCGTCTGAGCTCCTGTGGTCTACAGCCTTTGTCCGGGTGAGTACTTTCCTGGATCCCATCTCACTCCCCGATGTCTAGCTTGGATGGCTCAGATAGTCCTT